TACTTTATAATAGTCAAGGAAATAACCATCTGATAGGGATCGGTTGACAGAATAGTCCCCCATTATCTCATGCTTGTCGTGAGGGTCAACGTAAATTAGGATCGGATGGTCACCATATGTCATCGTACTGCCGCGGCGGCACTGAACTTGATAACACATGGTTTACCCGGCCATTTGCGGCGTAACACAACATTTACTCATAAAAGTGATACAGAGAAATGGGCAATCGGCTCAAACTACCACGTGAATGTAAGATCTCATGACGTCAATGTAATGCTGGTTGATGCATGTCATCCTATTCCAGTTTTGTAGATTGATGCTCTTGATGTCAGTCACTGGATTGTCTGGGTAAGAATCGATTATGTACAGAGTGCCGTCATATAGTCTGAAAATTACTGAGTGCGGCGTTAAACAACAGTCAAACAAACAAACAAACAAACACTGCATTATTTGTATTCGTATCTCTGTTGCAAGAAAGTGGACATGGCCCTAGCCAGACTGAAGAACGCTCACCCCAAAATCATTCAAACAACAGGGTGATCGTGAAATAAAGTGATGTATGAGGTTAAATAAATATAAACTTTTAAGAAATTCCTCGAGTAATAAGGAACCCTCCAGTGTCTTAGTTATAGAACTGGATAACTATGGGCTGCTAGAACTGAGAGGGGGTGAGTATGGGCTGCTAGAACTGAGAAGGGGGTGAGTATCGGAGCTAGAACTGAGAAGGGGGTGAGTATGGGCTGCTAGAACTGAGAAGGGGATGAGTATGGGCTGCTAGAACTGAGAAGGGGATGAGTATAGGCTGCTAGAACTGAGAAGTGGGTGAGTATGGGCTGCTAGAACTGAGAAGGGGGTGAGTATCGGTTGCTAGAACTGAGAAGGGGATGATATCGGAGCTAGAACAGAGAAGGGGTGAGTATAGGCAGCTAGAACTGAGAAGGGGGTGAGCATAGGCTGCTAGAACTGAGAAGGGGGTGAGTATAGGCTGCTAGAGTTGAGAAGGGGGTGAGTATAGACTGCTAGATCTGAGAAGGGGGTGAGTATCGGTTGCTAGAGCTGAGAGGGGGGTGAGTATAGGCTGCTAGAACTGAGAAGGAGGCGAGCATAGGCTGCTAGAACTGAGAAGGGGGTGAGTATAGGCTGCTAGAGTTGAGAAGGGGGTAAGTATCGGCTGCTAGAGTTGAGAAGGGGGTGAGTATCGGCTACTAGAGTTGAGAAGGGGGTGAGTATCGGCTGCTAGAGTTGAGAAGGGGGTGAGTATAGGCTTATAGATCTGAGAAGGGGGTGAGTATAGGCTGCTAGAGTTGAGAAGGGGGAGAGTATAGCTTGCTAGAGTTGAGAAGAGGATTAGTATAGGCTGCTAGAGTTGAGAAGGAGGTGAGTATAGGCTGCTAGATCTGGGAAGGGGGTGAGTATAGGCTGCTAGAGTTGAGAAGGGGGTGAATATCGGCTGCTAGAACTGAGAAGGAGGCGAGCATAGGCTGCTAGAACTGAGAAGGGGGTGAGTATCGGTTGCTGGAGTTGAGAAGGGGGTGAGTATAGGCTGCTAGATCTGAGAAGGGGGTGAGTATAGGCTGCTAGAGTTGAGAAGGGGGTGAGTATCGGCTGCTAGAGTTGAGAAGGGGGTGAGTATGGGCTGCTAGAGTTGAGAAGGTGGTGAGTATAGGCTGCTAGATCTGAGAAGGGGGTGAGTATAGGCTGCTAGAGTTGAGAAGGAGGTGAGTATAGGCTGCTAGAGTTGAGAAGGGGGTGAGTATCGGCTGCTAGAATTGAGAAGGGGGTGAGTATCGGCTACTAGAGTTGAGAAGGGGGTGAGTATCGGCTGCTAGAGTTGAGAAGGGGGTGAGTATAGGCTGCTAGAGTTGAGAAGGGGGTGAGTATAGGCTGCTAGAGTTGAGAAGGGGGTGAGTATAGGCTGCTAGATCTGTGAAGGGGGTGAGTATAGGCTGCTAGAACTGAGAAGGGGGTGAGTATAGGCTGCTAGAGTTGAGAAGGGGGTGAGTATCGGCTGCTAGAACTGAGAAGGGGGTGAGTATAGGCTGCTAGAGTTGAAAAGGGGGTGAGTATAGGCTGCTAGAGTTGAGAAGGGGGTGAGTATCGGCTGCTAGAGTTGAGAAGGGGGTGAGTATCGGCTACTAGAGTTGAGAAGGGGGTGAGTATCGGCTGCTAGAGTTGAGAAGGGGTGAGTATAGGCTTATAGATCTGAGAAGGGGGTGAGTATAGGCTGCTAGAGTTGAGAAGGGGGTGAGTATAGGTTGCTAGAGTTGAGAAGGGGGTCAGTATAGGCTGCTAGAGTTGAGAAGGAGGTGAATATAGGCTGCTAGATCTGAGAAGGGGGTGAGTATAGGCTGCTAGAGTTGAGAAGGGGGAGAGTATAGGTTGCTAGAGTTGAGAAGGGGGTGAGTATAGGCTTCTAGAGTTGAGAAGGAGGTGAATATAGGCTGCTAGATCTGAGAAGGGGGTGAGTATAGGCTGCTAGAGTTGAGAAGGGGGTGAGTATCGGCTGCTAGAGTTGAGAAGGTTGCTAGATCTGTGAAGAGGATGAGTATCGCCTGCTAGAACTGAGAAGAGGATGAGTATCGGCTGCTAGAGTTGAAAAGGGGGTGAGTATAGGCTGCTAGAGTTGAGAAGAGGATGAGTATCGGCTGCTAGAGTTGAGAAGGGGTGAGTATCGGCTGCTAGATCTGAGAAGGGGGTGAGTATAGGCTGCTAGAGTTGAGAATGGGGTGAGTATCGGCTGCTAGAACTGAGAAGGGGTGAGTATAGGCTGCTAGAGTTGAGAAGAGGATGAGTATCGGCTGCTAGAGTTGAGAAGAGAATGAGTATCGGCTGCTAGAGTTGAGAAGGGAGTGAGTATCGGCTGCTTGAGTTGAGAAGAGGGTGAGTATAGGTTGCTAGAGCTGAGAAGGGGGTGAGTATAGGCTGCTAGAGTTGAGAAGGTTGCTAGATCTGAGAAGAGGATGAGTATCGCCTGCTAGAACTGAGAAGAGGATGAGTATCGGCTGCTAGAGTTGAGAAGGGGGTGAGTATAGGCTGCTAGAGTTGAGAAGAGGATGAGTATCGGCTGCTAGAGTTGAGAAGAGAATGAGTATCGGCTGCTAGAGTTGAGAAGGGAGTGAGTATCGGCTGCTTGAGTTGAGAAGAGGGTGAGTATAGGTTGCTAGAGCTGAGAAGGGGGTGAGTATCGGCTGCTAGATCTGAGAAGAGGGTGAGTATAGGCTGCTAGAGTTGAGAAGGGGGTGAGTATAGGTTGCTAGAGTTGAGAAGGGGGTGAGTATAGGCTGCTAGAGTTGAGAAGGGGGTGAGTATAGGCTGCTAGAGTTGAGAAGGGGGTGAGTATAGGTTGCTAGAGTTGAGAGTGAGTGAGTATGGTTGTACGCCGCTTTTAGCAATATTCCAGCAATATCATGGCGGGGGACACCAGAAATGGGCTTCACACATTGTACTCATGTCTGGAATCGAACCCGGGTCATCTGCGTGACGAGCGAACGCTTTAACCACTAGGCTACCCGACCGCCCCTAGAGTTGAGAAGGTTGCTAGAGTTGTGAAGGGTTGAGTATAGGTTGCTAGAGTTGAGAAGTGTGATTCGAGTACCGGATGGGACTCCACCCCAAAAAGTACTCGAATTTGTAATCCCAAATAAAACATGTCCCATATAACCAGTTTCAAAAAGGCATTGTCTATTCAAACTGACAAGAATTTAAATAATGTCCATATATCTACACTTTAAATAATTGTCAGATAACCCAGATATAACTTTTCATCATAAATATGTCTGTGAAGTGGGTGATATTGAATGTAAACAAGACGAAGGTGTTCACCCTGAGGGGCCCCATGTATGTACCCCGACTCGTATTTGTTAAACTATACGCCGGTCTGTCAGTCCACCTGGCCGGCAAGGAGATACGAGCTTGACTGATCTATAGGCATTACGTGACTGGCAGCGTCACCGCTATACAGATGCACAGTCTGAACCAACACTAAGCTTTTAACAACCGTTTCATATACACCATAATATATCAGTGTAATTTAATGACATCAATTTGAAGCCTTACTTTGTTGGAAAATGTGTATTCCCTTTCATCTGTGAGTGCTCGCACGACGGTTGACATTTATACAAACATGTTTGTAATAGAAAATAGAATGGACACTTGTTCTCAGAAAGAGGAATATACCGTGTCTCCATTTGACCACACACGCACCCATAAACCACGCGGTATAAAGGGAAGGGAGGATGAAATATATTTCTCTCTCCGAGTGAGTGGGTGAGCGAGCGAACGAAGGAAAAAAACAAATAAATAAATATACAGAAGCAGTAAACAACACCTAACGACCTTAATAATGAGAAGGTAGGAGATCATTGCTTTTGAGGGACACCATTTGATATTCTGGAAGGGGAACTAAGGTGGAGATTTGCTATTGTTTCAGCTGCAGCTGCAAAGCCAGACATTTAAGAAACAAACAAACTATGAACATTAATATCATTTTACTAAAAACAGCTTGCAACAATGTATTTTTTGTGGCTCACAATTTCATATTTTTTCAAAAGTCGGAAGCACAATTATTTTTTAAAGCATTTTCTGGGACAATTTGTTTCTTTCGATAAAATCCTAATAACTGACATCACCTTTTATCATCAAATGCAGAACGGTGGCGTTTCTACGAAACGATTTTTATGCCTCACCAGACATGGATCCTCTCGAAACGTACATAAATACTATGCAAACGTCATGGCAGGACTTCTTGCTGACTTAATGCCAGAGGATAAGGTGTAATTATTGATAGCGAGCTCAGGAGACAACAGAACCCCACCTTCGGATCATACCCTCGCTCAGGTGACAATGGGATGACACTCTTGGCTGTGCATAATGTATAATATGCCCCTGGTCAGACACACACCGTATTGGTTACTAAGGTCAAGGGAACATACAGACAGGTGCCCCTTCTATTCTTGCCCATATGATGCCAAGTCCAGGAGTCCGACCCACATTGTACTGACCAACACACGGACAACACCCAGGTGGACGCCTTCGTAACTTCTATACATTGGCTGACCACTTTAAGTTCCTGATTGCCGTGCCCGCTGGTCATCCAGAGAGTCTGTTGTCCGTCCATCTTGTGGACAGAAGGCGTGTAGATACTGATCACAGTCTTTGTGGGGTGATGTCTCACGTTACCTGCCCCCCGCAGACCAAGCCGGACTCCCTGCCTTTCTCGCATTCTCCCCGACCGTAAAACATGGCCTAAGGTGGTCCGGTCAAGACGTCTTGGCGATCTGTCAAAACAACAAAGTGGTCACTAATTTGATCTTTGTACAGCTAACACGTCCAGTGTAGGCACACAATGGAGTTAGTCCAGACATTGTCGTTGAGTTAACCTATGTGTTTTGGAGAGGTATGACGCGTGTCCCGAACAGCCCATAATTACCGAAGGCCTCATCAAAAGAAGAGTGGTATCGGACCGGGCGACAAACTGGCCGATAACAGTGTCCGGGCTATCTTTTTGTCATGTTCCTTTTCGTTTAAGGATAGATTCGCAAATTGGATAAATATGCCTTGGGCTTTTCATAATAGTCTTTTTGAAAAGACTCGCTTAAGAGTAACTGTGAGGCATTTAAGATTCTTATTATAACGGAATCTTCAGATTTGACACGTGAAAGCCATTGTTTTAAATCATTAGTTTGGCGAAGGCGTGTTTAGGGGTTGCGGCATCTGGAGATGAACTGTATCTATTAACGGTGTTATTAGTCGTGTTTGTACAACCTATAACCAACTGACATGGTACTTCACGCACCCTTGTGAACATGACATCGGTGGCAGTATGTTTGAAAAACAGAATCAAACAAACGGAAAAAAGCAGTAATAATTATATTTCCCTTTGCTCTATAACGGACACAATCGTATAACCATTCCCTTAGTAAAGCGGGGGTAAAATTAATATGTTTTATTTGTGAAATGTAGCAATTTGATTTTCAATGTATAAACACTGACTATTGTGTACAACATGTTCATAAAACTCTGAAGTAGAGCCTAATAACTGTGATTTATAGTACAAATAGACACACCTTCCGCTACAAATACAATGAGCATAAATTTACTAACTCGGGACTATGAAATTTGAAATTGCACTGAAACAAAAGCTTTTGATGTTGATTGACTATTCAGTCACACAAACTACACCAACGCGATATTTTTTACGGTTCAGCGACAATTCAAGAAAACCCACGTGTATCTTAAACTATTACAAGTTATGCGGTAGTTAGCGTTCAGTGTAATTCCTTAGGCGACTTGTGACAAAACACGGTGTTGTTCGCATTTCTAATAAAGCTATTGAAACGGATGTACAGGGGCACCGTTCTGGATCCAGAGCATTGATTCGACCGTGGTCTTGGTCCGATTAACGATTATGTCTTTTATGTCTAATATGACGGAACTCGTGATCGCCGCTCTCATATGTCGGCAATGCTGCACATTACGATGAGAGGAGTTTCACCTAGACCTGTGGGTCGGGTCTAAACCTCTTCATTTCATAAGATGCAAATTGACTTCAGCCGTACACCCGGGGGCCGTCTCATAACTTTGTCATCGCTTGAGAGGTAGCATTGTGTTGAGTGTTTGCGGCCGTCGAAAGGTCACGTGACTCCCTCTGGGGGTCGCTCAGTCGTGACCGACCCTGCAAGGAGCCGTGTCTACCGTCCGGGTAGCACGTGCCCCGTGACAAACGGCGGCCATTGTGCCCGAACCCTTAGTCTGTCGGACACAGGGATTGAATTTCATCGCACGAAACTGGGAAAATAACAATTAACTCTTGATCATTATCAATACCGTTTTAGTGATGTTTGTATAACAGCTAAATGGCTTCATTGGTTCGCCATGTAAAATGAAATGGCTCCTTGCAGCGGAGGTTCCGACAATAATGACGTGACAGCTCTCAGTTTTACAACGCACGTTTTCCAGAATTGAAGTTTTTATTCTTAACCCCTGAAACGTGAAAACGGCACGGGATTTATACCCAGATGTTCCATGCGCGTTATGTCGGATTAAGTAGGAACACAATTTGGGTGATGCCAATTAGTTAGCGTTAAAATACATCATTAAAATGTGGTTAAGCCATGTCAAGTATATTCAATGTCTGCTAAGTACCTATGTACGGAGGCATTCATATACGTGAAATGTTTGAAGGCGATTGGAAAAATTAGTTAGCTTTGAAATACGTCTTTAAAATATAGTTAAGTCATGTCAAGTATTTTAAATGTTGCTAAGTACCTATATAGGGAGTTATTTATATACGGGAACTATTTGAAGGCGATTGGGAAAAGGGGGATTTAATTAACATAATCTTAATTACCAAATGCATTGTGCAATGTATGATTGATCACATTAGATAAAAAGATCAGGCGAATACAAGAACACATTTCAGTGAGTATGGTATTTAGTTCCTGCTGGTAACTGAACGGATCGTTTTGGGCAGGTTCTCTCAAAATCTGTGTTTCATTAATAATATAATTGACAAAAGGAAATGAAATCGATATACATGTAAGAAAAAAATTATAACATTGAAATGGAAATTATGTAAATATTAAAAAATATTTAAAATGGATTTTTTTCGTTTGCTGTTATTATTGTGTTGTTAATTCTGAAGGATCTACGAATCTCGTGTACACTTTGTTGTTTATATAGAACAGCGAGGACATATACTGATTGATCTTGTCATTGCCCGAGATGATAGGCCGGGTCATTATGAAAACGAAAATGATCAAATAAATACGGCACCACAAGAAGACATACATCTGGAATATTTCAGACTGTCTAAGAATCACAGGCACTCTAAGGCAACCAATATGTAGAACCATAGTCTCAACACCATCCACGAAGAGTGCTTGAATTCCACATGCAGTAAGGATATAAACAGGTGTGGTGGTGTCATCAGGCAAGTATACAAATTGATGATACCACACGTCAGCAGGCGGATGGAAGACATCAACAGCTATGTGGCGCGGACCTTCGTTTTGTTCCCGTGTTGCCGTCACAAGCCTGACGGAATGGAATCAGGGATATTCCAAACTAAGCGCCCTTGGTAGGCAAATTAAGAGAATACCGTGACATTTTTCAAAATTGAATTTTTTAAATATTCTTCTTTTCACAAAATATGAGGAATTTGGAAAATTGCAATTCAATTCGGGAATTTTTACTTTCATTTCCTGCAGACTTAGGGCCGAATATCGCCCTCTGAGCAGGTCTAGATAAATCCCTGCGGAATTGCCGTCTTCATCGAAGAACGTGTCGACCGCACAAAACATTTCATGGTATCTGCGAGTCTGTCATACAGATCCTGAAACAAAAATATCCAATATAGCCCATGAAAGTCTATAATATTTGGCAAGTCTAAATGACTGCATTATCTGAAACTGAAGAGAGTCTCTATGCTCCATTTTGATATATGTTTAAAACTATAACTTAACAACTGTTTTTATCTGTAAAATATGTTCATTTCAGAGACATGATGTTAGTCTAGGTATCTGTGAACACTGTGCGTTATCGCTCCCTGACAGTTTCGTCATCAGGGCAGCTGCGTTGTGTGATATATAACCTTTCATTCCTCCATAAAGAAGAGTACAAAAAAAGCAAAAAATAATAGATGAACATTTATCAGAACAACATATTATTTTGCATTAAATATCCAGAATGGTAATGCTGATGTATTGAGAGTTAGTTGAACACCATTTTAAACATTGGCTTGACATATTTAACACACACTCGTGCAAAGTCATCAGCATCTTTGTCACATAGTCTGTAATCTGTATTACAAGACAACAGGCATTCAGTGAGCTTTGCTGAGTCCATACCATGCAGGTAGCAGCTAAAGACATCACCGATATTGATCAACTCCATCCAGAGCTGATCCCGAATATCACACGTACATTCGCACTCAACAACTGCATGTGTCACTGGATCACGATACACAAGACCACATTTGTGGCACAGTCCTGTATCACACATGTCCTTTGCGGTAGCACACGTCCTTATCACAAAGTTAGAGTTCAGTCTCAGAGTTGGGTCGTCTAAGGAGATCTGCCAGGCTGGATGGACATCATGGACGTGTCGGCAAATTGTAACCAGGAGACTGCGTACAGTTGGCATCGGAGCTTTCACAAAATACCTGGGACAAACACGCAGCATCGGAAACCTGGACTAAAATGGGCCAAGGCTGTCCCGCGAGAATCACTACGAATTGGTAACAGATCCTCTTCTCCGATGAAAGTCGATTCTATGTGTACAGAGCAGATGGCAGACAACGGGTGCATCACCGTAGGGGTGCACGTACGGCGCGTTGGGGGTGATAGTTGGAGGCAGTTCGAGGTGGAATCCCGCCTGTAAGGGACCAAGATGTCATTTTTACATGGACAAGTACGTCCTTCCGTCCTGCCGTCTACTTAGCAACATGCACGGTATTGCATGATGACCCCCTAACATCACACGATCACACAAGATCACATTGTCGCGAACTCCTGGTATTATTGTTATTTGATAGTGATTTATAAACCCATGCTCATGATATAATCGAAATCGTACAATCAACACAGTTCTTAGCAGATATGTCTTATGAATATGGAAACGGTTTTGTTTCTTTTATTCTTGGGGGGCACGGGTGGCCCAGTCGTCTAAGGCGCCGCGATTCGCTGTGCAGAGTTGCGACCCTTGGGCAAGCCAGAAACCTATGATTGTGGGTTCGAATCACGGTTCGCCCCCATTATGTTTCTAGGTTTGTCAGCACCATACCTGTGCTCGCAGGTTTCACCGAAGTGGTAAACGTCTGAGACCTGCATCACTAAGGGCTTTCCTCCCACATTAAGCTGACACGCCGCGATATAACTGGAATACTGTTAAAAGCGGCGTTAAACCCAACTCACTAGTTCACTCTTTTATTCTTAACGCCATAACGGCAGAGAATAAACACCCTCAAGGGTCTGCCGAAACAGAATCCTTCGGACATACAAGGCAAAATAGTGGCAAACACTATATGAGGTGAGGTGAAATGGGGTTTATTGTCGCGTCCAAGATTATTGTGTGTGTTTGTGTGGCTGCTTGCACTAGTCCGGACTGATGCCGATTTATAGTGCTAGCTCACTGAGATACCATGGCGCAGTTTAACATGAATACCCCACTCAGACACAGTATACTGACTCCGAGCCGACCAGTCCTTGTTTTAGCCCCTTAATG